AGTAACCATAGCCTGTTTGACAGCGTCTAAGAAGTTACTTGACTCAGAATCTGTGGCTAGCGATGAAACAAATAGAACAAAACAAAAATGGTATTTAACATTAATGATTGATCCCGTGCATGCTCTTCATATTTTTTTTTTCAAATCATTGACCTAAAGGGAAATGACAGTCTTTAGATAATGGTAATTATTATAATAGTAAACTAATGTATATCATATTTTACATCAGTATTACTTACTGTAATAAGTATGACCACATCTATCATTTCGATTCCTATGCAGTCATTTCAGAACACCAGTAATATAGACAGTTCAGTGGAGAAAACAGCGTCGCCGTTCTGTTAGCAAGATCGTGGGTCGAATCAGAACTGGAACCCTGATTCGGAGGGACGGATTTTACATAGATTCGTGCGAATATGAAGGTTCAATTCCAGGATCTTGACTTTTTTCGAATCTTCTTCCGACGCGCAATAGGGTGCAATGATATTCTTAATGCGAAAATAAGTTTAGTTTGTTTTATCAGACATTATGAAATGAGATCACTTATAGGTGAGTATACCGATAATATCAATTCCTTACGCAGTATTTTAACAACGATTTTCAAATGAATTCCTCACATAAGAGAAATCACTTTCAAATACTTAAACTATCTCTTCATAATAAATGGGTGATATATATTTTTAAAGGTAATTTTGATATTGGATATTCAGTTCTTGAGTTTCGCGCTAATGAAGTCGGTGTGAGAAAATATAGCGTACAAGACACGCTTATGGAATATGTCAAAAGAAATGGAGCACAATCCATTCCGTGGAAAGCAATGCTTAGATTTTTGCCAGGCTCGAAGTCCCATTCCAGAATACTGAAGTTGAAGTCTTCGACCATTACAAAAATGGGTATATTATTTTCATATCCAATCTTACATGGCACGTTGGTAAGTGGGGTCATACTGAAAACAAAAGTTACTTTCGAAAAGTTAGTGGATGTATTTACGTTCAGTTAATATAAATATCATTATTTACGATGTAACTATTTTATGTTAGCAATTACTATTGAAACCATTAGATAAATAAATGAAAATATTAAAGAGATAAAAATCTTAAATGCTTTCCTGATTCCTTCTCCTGAATGTCTTCAGAAAAGAGACAATGGCTGGCAGGTGAGGAACTAGGAGTCCGAGTGAACACGTTATGCATTATGTTGGAAAACTTTATAGTAGCATGACCTCAGCTCAAACAAGACATCCTAAGCACAATGAAGAGTTTTATCCTGCTAGTAGTTGCATTCACTGCAGTTGCAAATGCACAGCCAACGTATTATAGACAGGATGGTTCCTACAAGAGCTTGGGGTTAAATTTCGGTCACGATTTCGTCTTGCCAAGAATTCCGGGAGTCGAGCTTCAAGTGTCTTCCGTTCGCCTGCCCATCCCTGCGCTGCGCCAGGAGGTCTTCAGGGTTCCTCTTCCTGCCCTTGCATATCCATAGAAAGTTGTACATGGCTGCTGATGTGTTTTACTATAACATTGAATAAAGGGTATTTGCTCAGTAATGTTTTATTTAGCTAAACGTGAAATTCCTAATTAATATTTGGAAGATGACATGTTGAATTATACTTACCATGTAAAGTGGAATATATACGGTGTCCATCAAAAAAATCTATTTCCGTGATACATCAAGTCATTTAACTTTGAGGTTGAAGCAACATATCTCTCTGTTTTCATAATCACCGGAGACAAATATTTATTTTCTGGTTTCGTAATTATAGAGATATTTTTGTGGTTTCGTACTTTTAGAGTTGAAATATTCTTTCTGGTTTCATAATTAAAACTAAAATATTCTTTCTGGTTTCATATTCATAATGACAAGATATTTCTTTATGTTTTCATAATCATTACACTCAAATATTTCTTTCTAATTTCATTATCATCGAACTCAAATTTGCGTGGGAATGTTCAAAAAGTTGCTCGACTAAAAATCCGTGGGCACCGAATAAAAATAAATATATAAAATAAAAAATAAAATATTGGACACGAGGAATGGAAGACACATGAAATCCCACTCCTGGAAATACAGCATTATGGTATATATGATTGATGTTGGAGGAGTTCTGGGAGTTTAGGTCGAGTTAAATTCTTTTCTTTATAAATGTTTTATACACTATAAATTACGCCAATTTTGATATGTTCAATAATATGGAAAATATCTATTTTTTCATTGTAGCTTTATTATATTTTCCTCATTGTGAGTTATCTAGATGTGGAAAGGGAAGAGGGAAAGATAGAGAAAGGAGAAGGTGGAGAAAGTGCAAAGAGAGAGAAAAAGAGAAAGAGAGAAGGGATGAAAGAGAGAGAGAGGGGGGGGATGTGGAGAGTGAGCGAGTGAGTGAAAGAGAGAGAGAGGGGAGAGAAAGAAAGAGAGAGAAAGAGAGAGAGAGAGGCAGATAAACAGAGAGAAGGAGAAAGATCAATATTTTATGAATGTGGGTATCCTGTGGTCACAGGCA